GGCAACGCGCGGCCTCCGGACCTCGGCGCCCGCGTGCTCTCGGCGCATCGAGCGGATCCTGCCCCGCCACGACGACTTCGCCGAGCGCCACATCGGCCCAGGTGAGCGCGAGAAGCGGGACATGCTGGACGCGCTCGGACTGGAGGTAAGAAAGACACGCCGCCGCCGCCGACGACCGGCAGGCGGGCAGGCAGGCGGGCGGGCAGGCGCACTTTCTCCTCCTGCTCAAGCGCATTGTTGTGCTTTTTAGTCCATCGAGCAGCTGATCGAGAACACCGTGCCGTCGTCCATCCGCATGAGGCAGAGCATGAAGCTGGACGACCCAGTGTGTAAGTTGACATGGCGGTCGCGCATTTTCTGCCGCACGAACGGAACGTGTTTGTGTTTGTGTTTGGGGCGCAATGACGACGACGGCGGCGAGCGCAAAGTTTCTCGCTCGGGTCCCAAGTCCAGTTCAATCTGGTTCCAGCGGTCACATTACATCACAGCCCGGGGGGGCTTCGAAGAAGGTGACATGGGTGGATGCCGTCGCCCCCCCCCCCACCCAGCCCCCAACGCACTGTGATCTTGTCACACTGCAAGCTGACACCCATTGAGACTTGAAAAGCAACAAGAACATGATTTCAACCCAGCTCAAACCAGTTTCATCACTGGGGCATTCCAAAGGGGGGGTCGGGGGGGGGGGGCGGCTAAAGAAGCCTTTGCAAATATGCTCATCATCATCACGCCGATGCCATTTGGGCTCATTTTTGCAGCGGTGCTTTTGTTGTGGGGTGTCAAGAAATAGTTCAGCATTGAAAAAAAAGGATCCGATTTGTTTGGTTGCTTTTCGTTTCCAAAGTGACACTTCTGGATTGATTGATGGAGTTTGCTCCAAAAAATAAGCAACCGGCATCGGTCACATTGAACCTGATGACAATGTTCGTGTTGCTCGTGTTTTTACTTGACAGCAGAGTGAATTTCCCCTCCAAACAACTTCTAAATTTAGCGTCTATATTTGAAAAATGCTGCGATCCGCACATCGACGTTCATTTGCTTTCTCCGCGGCAAGAGATTCGCTATCATCAAAGAAGGTTAAAAAAAAAAAAAAAGCGTACTGCTCGCTCAATGCCAAAGAACACCAAACAATACAAAGAAATAAAACTCGTGACAATCAGCTGAAGGATGCCAAGGTGCAGCGTTCCAAGACGTTCAACGTACCGAAGACGGCCTGTTCCCAGAGAAAGCACCCAAACGGAAAGAAAGGCACAAAAGCCACCCGACGGCATTTTGGAGATTTAGGTCTCACTATATTGAAATAGTTCTCGCGAGTACGCCCAAGTTTTCCGTGAAGGATGAAAACGAGCATCGAATCATTGTTGCACGCCAAATAATATTTCTTCACCTCAGACAAATGTTTGTCATGCCTGCGAGGCAGAATGATGTCACGACTGGGCTTTCCAGTTTCCCAAAGCAGGCTCCAAATTGTGCCCGCTGCGATAGCGAGCGCCGACGCTTGGTTGTGTGCGCGCGCCCGCCGTGGGCCGGCGTACCCCGCCCGCCGCCCACGCGAGGGTCAAGCGGCCCCCCGGCTAACGTGACGGGAATCGCTTGAGCCAAAACGGCTCCGACCGCAATCGTGGCGTCGCACGGACGCAACTTTTTTATTCGTCAGACTTTGATCCGAAATGTGCGCTTTGCAGCCCTCGCTATCAATCGGGTGTCATTTCTCCTGCCTTTTGTTCTTTCTTCATTCAAATGATTGGCAGTTTGCGGCATCGCCTATTTTTCAGTTGCGCAATTGCGTACCTAATAACTCACCGCGTTCGGGCTTGATGATTTACTGATAAGCTCACACCAGTTTTTTTTTTTTTTTGTATGGACCATAAATAGAGGAGTGGGAATCATTAACTACGTCGGTTGGCGTC